TTCGAAAAATAACGGCTTTTTATGTACAACATTGGAAAAATCCCGGTAATGAAGGAACTCCATACCAACAATGAAATTTCAAGGAAACCGATCGACCGACAAATCTAGTCCCGCCCGTCTTACCTTACCTATTTTGCTTACGTGTACAAAAATAAACGTAGAATATAAATAAAAAAACTTTCGCTTTCAGTACTCATTGAGATTAGTTTTTTAATTTTACTTATTCATTCTACTTTATTTTTGTAATTAGTAATTTCTCTTGATGTTTGCCGCGGACCTCCGAGTAATGGTCGGTGGACCAAAGTTTACAAAGTCCTGGCTTAGTAGATTCCACGCTCATCACGCGATCATTTTTCACGAGAATACGCTTCAAGTGTAGAACCAACCTAATGTAGATGCTGTTTAATCCAATTTATGATCCGCCGGTATTAGAAGTTTAAGTTATCAAACTGGCTGAAGTTAAACCATTGTCAACGTGGCCGGCTAATTATCCCGATATGATATTCAGAGATGGGACTCCGGCCTAAAATATTCAAATGTAAGTATCATATTATAATGAAACGAAGGGATAGGATGGCATCCGGAAAGGGTGGCAAATTAGGTTCGGTACAAACAGCTGTTGTATGACAAACTTTCACCGTTCCCGTTATATTTACATGGATGCGGTTATGCTTGAGTGAAGTAGCAAACCCACTTTACCCATTTAGCTTAAAATCAACAAAACAACCGTTGGAAGGAAGATACAGGCTTGAACTGGTGACATTCAACCGATTTCTCTAGCTTGTTGTGAAACGGGGCCCGTAAAGGTTAGGTATTTTTGTGGCAAAGTGTTCATTAAAAATGTTAAGTCGAATATTTTAACAGCAGGGAAGAAAATGGACCACCAAATTTTATTATTATTAATCATTTAAAACCTCACGTGATAAAATATTTATTTTGTTTGCCTAACTATATAATATAATGTAATATGTATATATTAATAATAGTAAGCAGTAATATGAAATATAAAAATATAGCTTTTTCACACTACACATTTGAAGTGCTCGTTTTTTCACCTTTATTATTTTATCTACACGACGTGCTATTTTATTGACATTTGTCTTTAATTCGATGCGAAATTATTGAGCCCGTGAAAATACCAATAAGATGCCGACAATTTGTCTTTTTCGTAAGTTTCCGACAAAGTGTAATGTAAACAAGAAAAAATTCAGAAACACTCGATGCTAGGAAGAAAGCAAACAAAGGGCCGAGGTTATGGGTCGGATGTAGAGCCCTTGACTGTAGAAAGAAGAGTTTATTCGGACAATACAGCTGTTTTGACATTTCTTGTTTTCAACTGTTACAACTGTTAACATAACGCTTGTTGGATTCCCATAAAGCGGCTGAAGAGTTTCGACGCTTAATCCGTTTATTTTGTGCAAAGTCGACGTTAAAATAAGTTTTGAAATCCAAGCCCCATTGCCGAGGAGCCAGAGCTCATTAAATGCGCATAATAAATACAACAAAGTACCCACGAATGTTTCGCTTTTGAATACACCTCTTTCGCTTAAATATGTACCAATTCTGTCTTCGCCGGCCAAGTTGTAAAAACTCCATTTATCGCCTAAAGCCCGGAACTTTGTAAACACGCCTTTCAAAACAACAAATAAGTTCATTAGAATTATATGGTACAACGCCAAATTTCACAGAGAACGGTAATTTTCCGCTGGTATATTAAACATTTTTTTAATGCAAACGAAGCTAAATTTTATCCCGTCAGCGCTAGACGTAAAACAAGCATTCTAACGCCATTTTTAGTTTAACGTTTTATAGAACTAACAGTTTAAAAATGGGACAAACGTTAAAAAACATTAAATTTTTGTTGCAATTATGTCCGAATCAGTTCAAATTACAAATTAAATAAAGCAAACGCTTTAGAGAAAGATCTATGTCAAAATACTAAGTAGATGAGCCCTTGTCAACAGTTTCATTATTACGAGTACTTATCCGTCCGTGCTCTCTGTCTTCATGACATGTAATTCTTCTTACAGCAAGTGTAAGAAAAAGAATGAAGTAGGGTATTAAATAAAAATGGCAAAAAAAAAGTAAGATTAGTTTCAATCTACATCCACCCCCTTATAATATATCAGAAAAAAATTAATTCCGTTTTTGGGTTAATATATACAGTCAATTATTTTTTTTAATGTGTAGTACGTCACATTTTATTGCTAAACTTTTGATTTTTTTCAGACAATTTCATAAACCATCCGCATTTCGTTTTCATCCTTGGATTGATCAGAAAGAATCTGTCTAGTCAACCACTATTTGATTCTAATAGCTTCTTTTTCTAACATATTTCACCTGCCGCCGCAGTAGGAGTTAGGGTACCCATACCGAATCAGTTGTGATGTAATACCGTTAAATGTAATTAAAACTTCTTCTTAAAACTTAGAAGCTTCGGGTTCTCAACACATCAGCAAGTTTTCATAAATTTGCTACATTATTTTCTAAGTAATGTAGGCATATTGTGACACCTCTGAAAAAAACCTGTTATTTTTAATTCCTTAAATGACTTCCGTCCAATGTTGGTAGTGCGTTATTTGAGAGGGAGACTACTTGACAAGGGTCCGAAAAGAAAGTGGAACCAGCGGAAGGCACTGTGGGGAAAAGATAGTTTTAAATTTAGAAAATATAAGGGAGGTTTTAGAAAAAAAATACTTTACACGTCCAAAAAAACCAGAATACAATTTTTTGGAAAAAAACTTCTCATAATGTTCGCCTTCCTGCCTCCGATTTTTTTTTCGAAAATTACAAAAAAATGGTGATAACTGAAACGCCTCCACAAATTTACCGGCCGATTTATAAGGGTTTAAAACCTTTTAAACTACAAGAAATACAAAACTAAATAAAATAAGTAACTAACTACAAAAAATTGCCCTTTGCTAATCCAATCCATAAATGTCTATATTTTATTGGTAATAAAATTTCGTATTTATGAGTTTCCAGGAGCTAAGAAAAAGAAATCGATTTTTTAAGAACATTTTTTTTACTTACACGAAGAACTTACTTTTGGTTTTTGTATTTTTTTAAAAATATATGCACCTCTAAGGCAGACATATTATAAAAAAATACTTAAACTATTTGAAATTTTTCGACTCTTAGGGGCTCATTGGCATGAACGCTGGGACACATGTGTAATAGTTTCGACCTAAAATCACAAAAAAAGTTTAATTAAAATCGGTGGTCCCACGCACCCAGCATCCCCTTGCCTTCGTCAAGCGAACAGATTGGTCGTGTTCGATCTGTTTCTGTGTGATCTCAATTTTTAACTTCGTTGTTCTTAGAACCATAGGATTCAAAACTATAAATAAATGTTCATACATGTTAGCCTTTTAAATTATTAATTAAAGTTTAATGTGTGGTGATTAGTGACCGTTAGTCGATAATTATTCAGAAATCGTGAGATGCGGTCTGGTGTGATGTAGGTTTCAGAAAAACATTTTCTTTATCGTGCCAACGTTTCGATCNGTATATATTGTACACAATACATGTACAATGTAAGTAAGACTAGTTTTAATAAATAAAAGTAAATTTTAAAAAATCAAAATTTCTAAACCGTCAATTACACTAACAGAGGATTTTTTCCGAGTTTCTCTTATTGACGGCGGCATTGTTGGGTGTGGGGCGAATATCCATTAATCGTAAGCTCTTCAATCCCTTCAGAGTCCGGGCCGGTTAGGATAATTAAGTAAGCTCCGATAAGCTCTTTGCCATGAGGACATCCCCCTCACCGATTCAACCGGCACGGACCTAATTCTCAACAGCGTTACAGACTTCGTTTATTTATTTCTAAGAGTTCCGTTAAGACCCCAAAAGGCAAAAGGGTCCTTATTTGTCTTTTAAAACCTGTATTGATTTATCTTTAACGCTAAACCACTCCAATCCTAGCTCTCGTTTCCTTTTGGCCCTTTTCCAAAGATTTACGACATTTGTGATAAAATAGTATTTTTCAATTCTTTCTAAAATGGTTTTGTATCGCCAAGAGCATATTTGATGGCACCTTTATGTTGTATATTTTCTAATCTAATATGTTTTGTTATTTTGCCCCCTTTTCATTTTATTATCGTATAAATGATTCGCAATATCATTTTTTGCTTTTATTATTAATCAACACCTCCATCAATTTATGCAATAAGCAGGTAGGTTACAAGGAAACAATATAAGTAACATAAGGCACTCCTTTCGAATACATGAAAGGAACCTGATGGATCGTGGTCACACTATTGGACGTGAGATAAGACAAGGTCCTCAACAAAGTAGACAACAAAAGCCGTCTTTTACCTGTTAATAGCTTTTTTCTCGTCAAATTAACCATTTTTAACTTCAAATTAACCTTTTTAATTCAATTTTTTCATAATTTTAATTTAATTTGCTGGTAAAAATATCTAGAATGTTGGTGTTTTTTTTTGTAACTAAACACACCAATTTATTTTCATGCAATATATTTCCGTTACTAATACATTTCGAGCCACGTCCCTGGTCCCTCTTCAGAGCTCGCCATTTAGCTAAATTGAACTCCCAACTGTTGAGTTAGTTTAAAAAAATTGTTTAGTTAAAAAACCTAACCTTTTTAATATCAAATCAACCCTTTTTACCTTCAAATTATTTTTTTAAAAATTTCAAATTAACCCTTTCTTTGAAAGGCTAAACGAATTGGGATGGGAGATGATATGAAATATAAACATGTAAAGTAAAATTCTTGTGCGTTTGCGATTTTTTAAAACATAATGTAATTAAATTTTTAGAAAACCATATGAAAATTAATTACAACTAAAATTAAAAGTTATAAAAAGTTTAAAAAATTGATTCTTCTATTAATTTGAGACTTTTAAAATATAAAATAATTATATTTATTTCTTTTCTTCATTATGTTGTCCTTTTTATTTTTATAGATACAAATGTCTTTTTTGTAGGTATTTTTTTAAAACTTTTGTTGAAATAATGTTTTTATTTTAAAAATTGTATGCAATATTCGAAAATAAAATGTTTCTTGAAAATTTGGTAGGATCGCCGAAACGTTGAAATATCGTAATTTTCATTTTTAAAAACCTCACTACAGGCATTTTTTTTCGGAAAAAAAATTCTTTTCAAATCTTTTGTAGACCTATAACTTTATACCGAAGGTCTGAAACGCTTACGGACACCTGCTTTTTCGGGAAACTTCGAAGGCTTCCCGCTTGTAGAGAAAGGTTGCTCAGTGTTTCCACACTTGGTAGGAGTATCACGCCTTGGCCTGAGGGAGAGAGTACACTTCCGACAAAAAAGACGGTCCTTCGGGATGAGATTGTGTTGTTGGGTCCCAGTTCCGATGTTAAGCGAAACGGGGGTGTTTCCTCATCTGTAAATATCGTAAATGCAATATATATATTATTATTGTGTGTAACTGCCCAGTGTGTATGCGTGTGATATTTGTTTGTTTGCGAACATAGTTGTTTGTTTGAGTAAATGAGAGAGAGGGCCAATGATGGAATATCGAGTACTGACTCCATTGTCGGTATTTGTTTTTTTAGTTAATTTTATGTAAACTTTAATTTTAATTGTGATTAATTTTCAAACGGTCTTCAAAGTTCCCAATTATTTTATAATAAAAAAATGCTCAAATAAACGAGAATTTTACTTTTAATATTTCTCATTCATACAATCTCAACATTTCACTGGTTTATAGAATATAGAAATGTATATTCGAATTTAAAACAAAGTTAATTTGAAGTTAAAAAAGTTTAGATTGAAATTAAAAAGGTTAATTTGAGATAAAAAAAAAAGGTTAACTGGATATTAAAAAGGGCAATTTGAAGTTAAAGAGGATTAAGTTGACAGGAAAAAGCTTTATGTTTAATTTCATGTAATTTTTCATTTTAAATGTAATTATAATAATTAAATGTAATTTTCATATGGACTTCAAAGAGTCATTTATTTTACATTTAAAAATAATTAGAAAATATTCAGGGATTTTACTTTACATGCTTATATTTCATACCATCTGCTACTTTTTTAATGCTTTAAAAAACAGTTAATTTGAAATTCAAAAAGGTTAAATTGAAGGTAAAAAAAGTTGATTTATTATTAAAAAGATTAATATATTTTAAAAATGGTTAATTTAAATTTGAAGAAGGTTAATTTGAAATTACTGTACATTCCATGCAGTTGATTATTATATTTTTTCTTCTTCCTAAATGCTTTTTTTTATTTGTGTTTATTCCAAGAAGCACGTGGTTTGTGATACCTTTACAAGAGGTTTTGAAAAGGAATCACAAACCACATGCTTCATGAAATAAACCCCGATGAAAAAACTCCATTTAGGTTTATTTGAAGATAAAAAAAGGTTAATTTGATGGAAAAAAGCTATACGTACAATCCCGAATATTTGAGGCGATTTACCGCAAGAAGTGCAAATTCATTAAGAAAAACGGGACAGTGCGTTAATACACGCAAAAATGGATCAGGTTCTTCCCATTGTCTTGCTTATACCTCTGACATCGCTTAGAATTTTGTCCACTCACTGGCATGTGTTTTGAAAAAAACATCACTTTACAAAATTAGGAGTTAATTTACACTGCTTGGAGCTTTTCATCTCAAATTCAAAGAAGTGGTAATAAATGGAAATTTATGTTCGTAAAACAAATCCATGTGGTATTTGTAAGCACAATGACTTGACAACAAATATGGAAAAATTATTTTAAAGCCACGCTACAATTTCCGAAGCACGTGTTCTCTATATCACACTTTAGTACGCATAAGATTTATTTCTAGTTTTATGTAGAATATTTAAATAATTAGGATGTACACTGATGGGCAAAATTAACGCACCACCTTTAAACTTTAATGTATTTAGGTGTATTCATATTTTGCATACCAAAAATACTCCAAGCGCTCGATTCCAACCACATTCAGGTAGTCCATGAAAAAAGTCCACAACACGTGCTCCCAAGTGCTGCTTGCCAGTCCCCATGCATTATCCCGCATTAGCCAGAATCTCTCACCGGTGTGGATGGCAAATGGCACTACATGTTATTCAATTATGCCTCTGTGAAGTTAGAGACCTTCCTCGCACAACAACCATTTCTGTGCGGTCGTCCAAGGAAATGCCACACCAGAACATCAACGACCCACCGTGGAATGCTACCTGGGGAACCAAACAGCATAGAGCTTGCCTTTCTCCTGAACATCTCCATATGAAATTACACCCATCTGAAATTTGAGGCCAACTCTCACCTCATCTGTAAAGAGAACTTCCCAATCTTCCAATGTCCAATTGGATGGTCCCGTGCGAATGCCTGGCCATTTTCTGAGCGGTGGTAAGAAGGCCGGGTGCCGGGCCCTGAGGTTATTTTCATGGAACCTTCTTCTTACTGTCCTGGAGGAAATCGAAACACTTCGTACTTGTTTTATCAGATTTCTTGTCTCATTTCCAGAAAAACGTTTCAGAATGAGAATAATATCAAATGAAATAAACTAAAGTAAATGTTAGCTGAAAGCGAAATTCACGCGTAGCAGAATGGAAGAACATAATGCTACGTTTTATGCAAATGAGATTAATCAGTACAAACGTAAATAAAGGAAGAAAACAAAGCATTATTTACTGTTTATACTATATTATTTACTGTTACTAACGACTGGTTTTTTTTAGCTCCCAATTACCTGTATCTATTTAGCATGGTTGTAAATTTTAAAAGTATATCTTTATAATTTGAAAAAGGCATAGCTTCTTGACTGGTCGCATATATGATTTCTTATTAATTGCTTTCTGACCATGTTAAGTCTGTTTCGCCAGCTGCGAATGACTGACATTAATTGACTTCGTACTGGGTGAAACGGACAGGGCGATTGCAGAACAGAGCATCACTTAATAACGCCGGGGATACAACTGTTTTGTCAAAATTTCCAATTGGCTTTATAGGTTCGCCAGTTATTAGCAATAAGGCTCTTTTATTTTCTAATAATGCCGAATTGGCTAAAGTAGCTTTTACATTGGAGTAAAAGACAAGATGGAGTTTCCTCATTACAATGATCATTTATGAACAAAGAAATTATACTAATGATTGCTCCCTAACTCTGGCAAATTGGTATATTCCAACTTATCAAGGAATCTTATTACTGTTTATATCTTGTCAAAAATACATAAAATATATGGCCGCCTGTAAAGTTAATAAACCTCATTTTTATTCATAGTCATGTAAAATTGTAAAACAAAGAACAACCACTGCACGAATTGGAAAATAGGGGCTGTAGAGAACAAAAGTTCTTTAGACAATTCCTACTCACTCCTTTTATCATATCCTAAAAACCTATTTAACCGACCTATCTTTCATAGTGAGGTCAGCAAGGAGTACTCACATATCAGACTGAGTCCCCTGAAGGGAGCATTCTTGGTCCCATCTTGTATACAATTTATAATTTCAATTAATTATTCTTTTAATATTAATTATTTCAACTAATAATCATATGGTTTATATAGCAATAATTAATATGGATTATTATGACCGCTAAACATATGGACCATATATAATGTTGACTTTCCCAGACATACAAACAACATCATTAAACGTACCGCAATTTTGAGTTTTAACTCGTATCCAAGCAACCTCCGACATCAAAGAACATCTTGAGCATATTCAAAGACTGGTGAAAAAAAAAATAAATGACAAGATAGAATGAGGAATAATGCATCCAGTGACACATTAAAAGCACTCTTGCCCTCGTGCACTTTCTGATGTCGAAATAAAGTAAGGTCATCCACTGTTGACTTGATTTGATTAGATCACAGTGAAAAGGAGAGTTTCAACATCATTTTGGGTCCAAAAGATAAATAAATGTCAGTTGGTAGTAAATTTTGTAATGCGAAGTCCGTTAATTGCAGAATCAAATGATCCTCTAAACGTAAAAACAGCTAAATACACACTCCTTATTACCTTATCCTGGAATCTTGTTTAACTGAAGAATGATTCACAGTGAGTCGCGGCAAGTAATCGAATATTGGACCAATACAACCCGGCGTCCCACAAGGGTTCATTCTTGGCCCTATCTTGTATACCATTTTTACTGCTCCTATACATGCTAATACCAACTTTACTGCCTATGAATGACACCGCAATTTTGATTTTAACTTAATCCTATCCACAGACTTTCAGCGTCCAAGAATACCTTGACCTAATCAACAATTGATACAAGAAAGGTCTTTTATCAGTCTTGCCCTTCAATGTACAACAACAAAAAGGAGCTAATGACTTCCATTCAAGTCAGATAGTTAGGACTATACCTGGATAGCAGACTGACAATCTCACAAGTCTTAAGAGGCAACAACTTAACAGAAGAATTGGACAACTACGAAGATTTTTAGGGCCGAAATCTGTTTAGAGCATCAAAACACTTTACAAGATATTAGATTGAACAATGTAGACATATGAAGTGAAGCTGTGGGGTTCCATGTTCAATATCCAGCGCAGCCAGTCCTTCCGATCAAAAGTCCTCAAACAAATATTCAAAGATTTAAAAATAGCTCTCGATCCATCCTCACCCTACTAACTTCCTCGTCTATTAATTCCACAAATTGAGTGCCAGCGCTGACTGGTTTTTCTTATCATCTGTCCTCCCGGTGATGTGAAGTGTCTGTTGTCACCTAAAGAAAAATAACCATACAGGCACATATTTATAATATATATTGATATGTGTATGTTTCAAATATACTTTTTGTAATGTATATATTTTTATGTAGTAGTATGATCAACGTTTATCCGTCAGTCATTACACGTCTAACATAAAGCGTACAGTGGTAACAGGCGGATCAGAGATGAGTGATCAAATTACATACAGACGCTTCTTCCACTTGAAGACAAACCATTTATGTAATTTAATTATCTATTGCCCAAATACTTTTCAGTCCAATTTACTAGTTTATAAATAAACCTTCATGATGTTGTTACCTAAACATTATCCTTCTAATATTGGCAAAGCTATTCAAGAATAGCTTGATAGTAACACCTTACTCCTTAGCTGAGAATATAAAATTGGGCTTGAAATTTATCAAATACCGGCAAGTAAGTAATCGAAGTGTTTTGTCGTATTCTACAGGAAAAAGAAATAAAAAAGAGAATGAAGCAGGACAAAAGTGACAGGGTTGACGGTCTGAGACAAAGATAAGAACAACAAATCTGCGGTGTCATCAAATGCGAATTGACTTAGGGTGAGTACAGCGAGTTTGAGATAGCGATTCCGAAAAGTGTTAGATAGGGGGGAGGTCCTCGGCCTGAACAGACTTGTGTAAACGACGACGGAGCCTAAGGGATATCTCGGTTGATTGCGGATCAGAAAGATACAAAAATGTTTGTTTTGCTATCATTTGACTTCTGATTCCCGATTGTAAATTCGTGCTCTCAGTACTCTCTGCCTTTTGCAAGTGCGATCTATTTCTGGTCAGAAACTTTATTAACCATTTCGTAACCCCAGATTGAAAAGAGATTGAACATTTCACTTTTTAACAAAAGTTCTACGTTGCAATTTCAATAAATATTTCCAATGGGGTCACTCAGGTTTTTGAAAAATAAATAGCCGGTTCTCTGAAACAATAAAACTTAAACAATTTATGACCGATGAAGAATAATACAATCGTGTTCTGCAATTTGAAAAAACAGAGCAATTAATATCCATTACCTTTATTGATGGATGGTTGTATTCAGTAGATTTTGTCCAATTATCACCGCATCGTCAATTGAGCATTCTATTTGTGTTAGTTTCCGGTGCTAGTTGCTAATAATCGATCATTAACATCAGGTTCAAAATATGAAGTTCTATTCACACCTTTTATCCCTTAATAGACAGTTTGTCTCGATTGTAAGAGTCAAAATTCCTAGCATAATTTCGAGTTGTCCTCAGTACGTACGAGACTAACCCATCTGTTTAACAAATTAGGCATGAGATCTGAACTCTGAAAGGCAGAAAAACACTATTAAAAATTCCAGAGCCCAAACGTCAACAAGACTAAACTAGTGGACAAAAACGGCGTGTATAAAATAGCAAGAGAATGTGGAGGTACAACGGACAGGCAGGGAGAAATGTAAAAGACTATTACTAAGAATGGGATTAAGGGACGACAGAAATTCAACTATGCTACGCGCATCTTCCAAAACCACGACGAACACCTCGACAACACAGACAATATTAAAATTGAGACATGCAATACAAAAACTTGAAAACCTGGAAATATTCAAATACAACGACGAACTGATAGAAAGCTAAGACTTTAAATTTTGGTGGGTTCGAAGATGTGATCCAATGAATATTATGTTATTGTAATTACGACAAGCTTTCGGTGTTTTATTTCACCTTCCTCAAGGACTCGTCAATCAATGAAAATATATATAATTTTAACTTTTTCAGCTATTTAAGTGAAGACTAACAACTATGTTCTATTATCCACAATCATTTCGCAAAAAAAAAATTAGGGGTGAATTTAATTTTTAAAAAGGTGAATTTGATTTGCCAAATTTGAATAACAAAAAAGAGAATATGATTTGCAAAAGTGTGAATTAGATTTAAAAAAATGTTAGTTTGATTGGAAAAAGAGTGAAATACTTAATTTAATTTGCAAAGGTGTGAATATAATTAGGAAAAAGAAATTTGATTTGAAAAGGGGTAAACTTGATCAGCAAAGGTGTGAATTTGATGAGAAATACAGTGATAGTTATTTGCTAAATGGTTAAAAGGAGTGATTTGATATGAGAAAGGGTGAATTCAATTTGCAAAAGTGTGAATTTGATTTGCAAAAGGGTGAAATTGAATTGCAAAAGGGTTAATATGTTTAGAACATAGGTGAATTTGATTTGAAATAAAGGTGAATTTAATTTGCTATAGGACAAATTTGATTATAAAGAGATTGAATTTGATTTGCAAGGTGACTTTAATTTGGAAAAGAAAAATATTTGATTAGCAAAAAAATGAATTTGTTTTGCATAAGTGTGAATTTGATTAAAAAAGAATGAAATTAATTTGAAAAAGGAGGAATAAAAAAATGAATTTGATTTTAAAAAAGTTAATTTAATTTGCAAAAGGTGAATGTAGGTTATCTGTGGCCTATTTAGATACTAGTAAGCAAGTATTTTATGTCCAAAGATACCATTATTTCATAAACTTCGACAGTGTGATTTGATAGCAATTCTTTTACCTCGAATTTATTAGGTTATAACTTTTACTAACACCGAACAATTTTATTTTATTGTTTTATTGTTCTCTTACTCATCCATTGATGTAATTGATGGCCAGTCCCCAGTATTAAATATATATTTAAAAAGTACCATGTTTTCTTCACTTTCAAAGGGAGAAAAACAATTGCCCTGCGGTCCCGGTAGAATAAGCAAAATCCGTTGTGAATTACGTTTCTGCGCAACGTATGTGTCGTCCATTATTTAAAGGTTTTGAGATTGTGAATCTCTTGGCGGGTATGAAAAAATTTTAAGCCTCGAGGGATAAATTAGGGATTCGCGAGATAAGATAAAACTTAAAAAAACAAAATTCTCCAAGAAATGGTTAAAATCATTTATCTATAGATATAAATAAGGTTCATTTGTATCCGTGGGAACAATCTAAATACACAACAAGAGCATACTCAAAATTGATTCAACAAAATTAATAACTGATTCAAAGTAACTCCCTCAAAATTAATTGCAGTTCTTTTCTGCAAATGATTCACATTGGCAACATCAATAATAAATAATACAAATATCCTTTGTTTAATGCACGTTGGCTGATGCTTGATCAAACTCTTAATCTTGCAACACGTTAAAGTGAAACAATCCTATTATTCTTCACTAAATCTACTTCGCACCGTTGCACTGCTTGGAGTGCTTACAGAACTAAGCAGAAATACTAAGTGAGTGATTCATGATGGCAGGCCGCGAGAAGTCATTAGCTCAATTTTTTATAGATATGTATATATGCACTTATATGTTGACCTTATACAAATCAATCAATTAATCGATTTTCGTTTTAATATTACAAAAATTAGTAGAAGAGTTATCTGAAAGTATTATCTTTTGCTGTCTTCCAAGATTTGTTATAAAGTTTGATGCTAATTTGGGTTTTTTATTCAATTAGAATTTTTCTTACTTGTCTTATATTCTTTTTCGTAACTTGATACCGTCATCAACAACGTTTGAGGAACGACCAGTGCTTTGCGTCTTCCAACATGAAAATTTCCGCTTCTAAACAGAGCAAACCACTTATGGATGGTGCTTTCTCCTATAGACTAATCCCTTTTCAGTGTGTAAACAATAATGTCTAAATAAACATTGCTTGGAAACACAACAGGGGTAAAATCGAATTATTGAAAAACGCTAATGATTCTTTGCAAGCCAATGATAAAGATTGGATCGCAATTAAATGATAAAGAGAATAGATATCATTATAGGTAGTACTAATAATCGTTTTTTTATTGTAGTCCACTAGAATAAAGACTATTTCCTGCTTGCTTTATGGAAAATACTGGCTCAACGGTTGAATTTGGACAGTTTTTAAACTTTTGTCCTTGACGTTTCACCGTGCTTGTTATTTCATAGAATTAGATTTGTTACTGTGTGTTTTTTAGCTGAAAAAATAATATTCTTAGACTCATTTACCTTTGTCGTAGGTTTGTAACCCAGTCTTGTAGAGTTAGCAAATTGTGACAGGTGGCCGGTCATACGTGGAGTGTTAGTTCATTATCAAGCTACAAGGAAAAAAGAAAAACATCCTTGGAGTACAAAAGTACCGCTTGAGCTTTATTTATGAGTTGTCATGTTAGTTTTCTTAACGTGTTTATGCTTTACTTCTTATTTTATTTATCTTACATAACTACTAACAAGATTATTTTCTAATCCTTGGAGAAGTTTACTGACATGGGACAAAAATAAGTAAATGTTTCAGAATTATGAAGTTCAGACGGTACATGGATGAAAATATGTATAGCTTTTTTAATTTATTTCAACCTTTTCACAAATATATTTATACCAATTCCACACATATTTAAATTTTTAGCATAAGCACTATGATAATGAGTATTTTTAATATAAAAAATTTAATATGATTGTTAAAAAATTAAAAAAACAAATAAATTTGGAAACGGAGCAAATACTTGTGGAAAATTGTTAAAGATTGAAACCCAACAACTACAGCACATTTAAAACCTGCACATCTTAAAATATCTACATTTATTAGTAAGTATATTTTATTTTATTATTCAATGTTGGAAGTATCGACGACTTTTTCCCTCAGGAATATGCTGGATTAATTATTATTCAGAGATCGTGAGGTGCGGTCTGGTGTGACGTAGGTTTTAGAAAAACATTTTCTTTATCGTGCCAACGTTTCGATCTTTATTGAGATCATCTTCAGGGCCTGGGATTTACAAACATTGTTTACATTTAACAAATACATGTAGGATGTGGAAAAAAGTGAATTTATACAATGCAAAATATATTTTTTATATTTCAATCAAAGTATTTCTACTCACTCAAAGTGTTTGTCTTCTGTGTAATTGTGCCATTCTCGCGTGTCGTGTCCAGTGCGATATTGCTGTTTTATGTTTATATACCTTGGATTTTTAAGGGGTGGGGAAAGAAGTCGGGATACAAAAGACATTTTTGTATAAGGTGTCGGCATAAACGTAATTTTTTAGAAATGGTTTATATCAACAGAGATAAACATAGCATCAATTACAGAACAGATACATGTAAACTCAGGCGCAGCTACGCCAATATCGTTAATCGAATTCAATATAGATAACATACATATACCATCACATCACATTCCACACATCAAATAGTTTCCACATAGTCTAATTTTCCAACAATTTAGCTTTTCTTTTCCTATTTATCCCTTTCTATATATTCCTGAAAGGATAACCTTGCCGGACCATTACCAACGTTTTTTCCCTTCGTCGGCTCTTTTCACCTCAATTCAAAATTCATTTCACCTTATACAAAAATGTCTTTTCTATTCCGACTTCCTTCCCCACCCCTTCAAAATCCAACGTATATAAACATAAAACAGCAATATCGCACTGGCACTCTCAACACGACACGCGAGAATGGCACATGATTGAATATAAAAAATATATATATATTGCATTGTATAAATTCACTTTTTTCGATGTTTTCTGCTAGCTGTATATGTTATACTGCCTTTAGCCAGGGCTAGCTGTATAAGTTATACTGCCTTTAGCCAGGAGTAAATTTAGCAAGTCACCAAAATGGATTGGGTTTTTTGATAATTTGACGTAAGCTAGTTAGGAACACCAGAAAGTTGGAGTTCAAGAAATATACATTCCTCAGTAAAGAACATCCTTCGGTCCTATTATATTAATTCTCTTTGATTGTCCTCTGTTAGAAGTTGGTAATGAAGATTTAATTGAAGCTCCAAAATCGCATTTCCATCCAGAATCCACTTGACCTCCTACATCACCAATCTCGAGTCTTTGAAAGCAAATCAAACTGGGTCTCTTCAATTTGAGACATTTGACAACCATTCTTCAAATGGATACTCATGCGTATCGCGAGATATATGCTAACATACCGTGGATAAATTTTGATTAAACTTTTAAGCACGTTGTCGCCGGCCTACAAACGAAAAATTTCCTTTTTCAAAACTGGCCAACGATACGTCAACATATGGTACCGATTTTTCGTAATTATTTTTCTCTGATATATATTTACTTACTTGTGTTATGTCTTATCAGCAGTGGGAATTAATTGATGCATTCATACATTTTAAGAAAGGGTATAATTTATTTTTCACTGAGTTTTATTTACACATTCTCATTTTCATTCAACTTTTCTTCTTTACTAAAAATTAAAGTAAAATATTTCAAAACTATAAAAAAACTATTTCTTTATAGAAAACCCTATGTAATTTATTTTGAAGTTTTGTGGACTTATTAAGTCAACCCTTGTTATTGGATCATTGTGCGTGTACATAAAAACGACCCATTCCTCTCCTTTTGGCTTACCGCTAACGATCGCACTCAGGTCCATGGTGTGGGACAAATGGAACTGACAACAATATATAGTTATTCGCTTAAGAAACGGTGATGTTATGTTATAAATTTTTTTCGTTATATGAAGTTGACTGCCTCCTTATTTTCTCTCTGCCGTGGAGACATCAAATGCGATAAGCTGGGACAGGTCAGTCAAATTACATCAGGCTAACAAGCAGTAGCCATTCGCCAGATTCGAAAGTTTTCGGCAAGAAAAAATAAACAAATAAAAACGTCCGTACAAACAAGGCAATAAATATTCGGAAAGTATGGAAATCGCAGTATCGACCAGGTCTAGAGGAGGGAAGGATCCAAATAGTATTTGCTTACGAAAAGCAAAAGTAGAATTTATTTAGAGGAAGATAGCTGTTGATACAATTAGAGAGGTTTCTCTAACTTCGTTCGAAGCGGGCAATTAAATATTTTATAGACCAACAAATCAGCAATCAATTTGTTTGCATCACTTAACCTATTACTTCATCATGTTATCACTAAAATAATAATGAAACTTCAGGCTTTTACAAAATATAAGTAGAAGAATAAAATTTGGGGGCGTCGTGGCCGCAACGGTTTAGGCGCTGACACGGTGCTCATCACTGTAAGTAAAGGTCCCGGGTTCGAATCCAGCGGTTCTGCATTCGAACCCGACATCCTTACAAATGGGCTTTTTTTTCAAAAACACCGGCACCCTGAGGTTTTATATGACCTCCGCTGTTGCGAACCCTCGTAAAAAAAAAGTAAAAAAGAGTAAAATTCCAAGTTTGATACAACGCTATTTTTTTGAGGGATCAATTATTTATTTGAGGGATGAAATGTCGCAATATCTCCTCTTGCTTTTATTTGCAAATAGTGTAACGTTATAAGGTTCTGACCCCTCGTATCATCCTGGTCTATTTATCTCAATATAGCTTCATTTTGACGTACGAATATTTCGATTCCCAATTTTTATGCACCCTTTGTTAGGAAAAAGATATTATTTCAAACATAAAGACGTAAGAAAGTACAAAGCATAATTTATTGCATCCTCATTTCTTAGCAGAATTACTGATATTCACAGAAACGTTTAACCGAGTTTGGTACTGCAGTTTTCTTTTCAAATTAAAAAGTTTCCTTCTTCACACCTCGCTGATCGCTGGTTTAAGATAATAGGCACAGATCGGATACCAAATCACAATCAAGGCTGGCATTCCACAAAGGATTTTCCTAGAACCGATCCTTACACAGTTTACTGCGATGACATACCTATACACCCTAACACGCAAATGACAACCTTCGCAACACGGAAATCCTTTCCTCCCGATCCTAGCAGCAAAACAAATATATGAACATCCTTATAGACTGATGCATTCGTGGTGCAACTAGAGAAATGAGGAAAAGAGCCGTCACGTTCACACTCAGAAGACAAACTTGGCATAAACGATAAGGTTTGTTTCCACCATTCCAACCGAATCCTCTACCTTTGACTCTAGCCACTTCTGACGAACAAAGTTCCGGGGATACCTATAAACGCTGTGATCGCAATATTCATATTTGACAAGAAATTTTAAATCAAAATACCCGAATATATTTGGTATACAGATGGCTCCAAAACTGTGTGTGGTCAGTAGCTTGTTATTATTGGGAATAAACCAAAAGCGAGAATGCTTAGAAGCACCGGACAATGTGCCTCTGCCTTTCAGGGCCTATAGCCAATAAATGCCAGGGAGATCAAAATGCTGGATATTACCAACAAGCGAATAGTACTCAGAAAGCCAGGCGGCACTAAAGGCAATTATCTCTTCAGTACGAAAGTTCAGATCAGTTTGGGATTGCATCAATAGAAGACACTTATCGGCCGTAAACCCTTTTGTGAGAGACAAAATGCCAACAAGCAGTTCATCAACAAAGTTTAGACAAAGTTTTCAGTTCAATGGGAATGTAATCCAGCAGAGAGTTTACGATCCACACTTGCTAGGACTGTAGACTACGGAAGCATATGAATCGCAGCGGCAGAGAAAATCCTGTGCAGATATTGCCAGGAAGAAAAAGAGTCAGCGAAGCACGTCCTTCGTTGGTACGACGGCCTATGCAAGGTCAAATTTCGAATCTTGGATGAGAAAAGGCCAAGACCTGAATTATGTATATACTAATGAGGACCGCGGTAGCCGAGTGGTTAGCATGCGAGACTCTCACGCCGCAAAAAAAAAAAAATGTATATACTACGAAATCCCTTGATAAAACTTCGAATCTGGT